AGCTATGGAGTTCAATTAATAATCACACCTCTGAACATCACTGCAGACCTGGTTTCTAAACAAAATAAAGAACCTGGTGCTCAAAATGTGAAGGTGATACATACCTTGAGGGGGGCCCAAACCGCCTGCAACGGGAAACATGAAACTGCAAGAGGAAAAACAAGAGTGTGTGAAATTCTGTCAGTTTCGTGCAAATATCCATAACTGGAAATCCACCTCGACTTCCATGTCAGCACCATCACAGGAGGCTCCCACCTTGTGGGCAGCATTTGGAGCTGCTCCTGCAGGTCCCATAGAACAGGGAAAAATGTTATCCCTCAGCAGGACCCCCCCACCAGATCTAGAAACACAAATCTGATCCTCCCAGCAGCCCTGACACAGCTTTGACTCATCCACATCACCCACAGGAGACTTTCGGCACCCACACAGCTTGGGAACAGGTCAGTTCGTTGTGTAGGCTAAGCACAGAATGAATAAACATCTCCTCTTGGAAGTATCTGACTCAGCAGGACCATTAACTGCACCACAGAACACTTCTCAGCCGCTTAGGAACGGCTCTGCTGGAGGAAAATAAACTATCCACAAAACACCATCACTTTTTGCCCCTTTTAAAAACAGTAAGTGTCACAAAATAATGGAGTTTCTATTTTTCTCAGTTATCTAATTGCAACAACAAAAAAAAAGGCACCTTGGAGAAAACATTCATTCACATACCGAGGGTCAATTGCACCTGGAGGAAGAACCATTAAAATTTCAACTAAAATCCTAATGGAAATTGCTAGCCCTTGCTCTCAAACAGCTGCCAAACAGCAAAATAGGACCTAGTTTAAAATTCTCATTTGCAAGCAACTTGCAGAAATCCCCATCAACAGCAATTTCCCAAACAAGAACCTCACTCAGTGTCCCAGGCAGTCACTGCATCAAAGTGCTGTGGAAGAGGAACACACTTATAGATATTCAATGTTCAATTCCAAGGCTGGATGTAAAAGAAACTGCCTAAGAGTAGAAGAGAAAATGCCATCAGAAATGGCTGCAGGAAGTCCTGAAAGCCAACCTGGTTTATAAATATAAAAGAGCTGTGTAATATGAGTACCAAGATAAAACAATGAATTTAAATTATGCATTTATCCAGGAGCAAATTGCACCTCCCCACTGTACAGGCAGCAGGTCACACGGTCACCAAGACAACCCATTTGCTCTTTACTTCATCCTCTAACCAGGATCTTCATCATCCTGAAGCTTCTTCTTCAGCCCTGACCACTGTGTGCTGATTTCTCCTTCCACAACTATCACACCCCTGTGCTTTCCAAAGGTCCAGTCTTGCCATCCTCCACCCCCAGCATTTTAGGGTTGTCCCTCTGAAGAATTCTGCAGACTCACACACCTCAGCCCCAAACATGTGCAGGGCCTGGTTCTCACCACAGCCAACTCCATTCAGTCATTTTAATCCCTCCTTAGCATCCAGTATCAACATGAAAACAAAGAGACTTAATTCAGTCAGAATGATGAAATATTAAATGTAATTTCTGAAGAACTCCTATAAGTATGTTCTAAGCTTCATGCTTTTTCCTTTCTGGTAGGGGAACCTGCTCAACAAGAGTTTTCCAAACCAGCAAATGCAATGTAAACTGAACAAGCCTTGGGAGGTACCACTGCTAGTTGGAAGCAAGTAAAGGCCAAACTATTAAATATTTATCCCTTTCTACAGAGCTCCTGGTTTATTTATAAATCTCTGCTGAAAAAAATAAAAATAAACAATCAACAAAAAAAACCCTCAGCTAATTAGAGGGCACTGGAAGAGGAACTGGTCCAAAGTAGCAAAGCAAGCTCTGGACGTGCCACTCAGATCCACCACGGATTCACTCCAGGATTCAGTGTGCAACTGCCAGCATCAGCCACGCTGGCACAGCCTCAAACCATCCCACCAAAGGGAATTTATTACTGAGCTGCTTTTTTGGAGATGCAAAAATGCCCCGAGCAATCAGTGAGAGCAGCTGGTTCTGGTGGCTGTGTGAGACCGACCTGGGATACACTGCACAAATGCAATAAAGAGAAGGGAACTAAGTGATCACCCTACAACAGACCTCTTAAAGCAGTACTACAAATCTGTAAATTCCTATTAAATGAGTATTTTAAATATGGAGTTTAAAAAAAAACAAAACCAAGAAACCCCAAACCAGCCAAGCAACAGCTTCAGCAGGAGCGTGGGGAGAAGCAACTCCTTTTCTGAATTAAAACTTCACTGTAACAGCTCCAAACCACACAGAACATTCTCCCATCTACAAATGGATTTTTAAACCCCTTAATTCCCAAGCAGTACAACTCTTATTGATGCAACAGACTGTCAGAGTATTTCTGAATGGCAGAAATGCACAAAAATTGAAGTGACATCAGGCAAAGAACCCACACAGAACAGAACTTTTCCTCTACCTCCAGACTTTGTCCTCAAAGAAACCAAAATACTATCAATGGGAAATGGTGATTTGTAAATCCTTTTATTTTTCAGAACCTTTATTTAACTGACAACATTCCCAATAACACTGACAAAACCTTGGGCTTCGGATATCCAAGACAACTCAATGAACTTAATTGTCAAATGCAAAATTTCCTCAGCCTCCCTAGAAGTAGGACAAGAGATAAATAGCAGACAAGAGCCTACATTGACAAAAAAAAAACATTACTAGAGTCTTCAAAGGTGGTGAAATCCAATTTTCCAACCTTTCCAGAAACATAACAACATCTCTTTTAACACTGGCTCTTTCTCCTGACAGGATTCCTCAGTCCTCTCTCTGGCCAAGGTGCCCTTTGTGAGAAGGAGAGGAAAAGGGAAGTCTCTGGGGAGGCTGGGTCCCAGGAGGCCACAGACAGACCTGCCCAGCAGTGACAGAACATTTACTGCTGCCGACACCAGCACCCCCAAATCCTCCCCACCCCAAAATCCAAGACTGCAGCTGCAGAGCCTGATGGCAAGTGGGGTGCAACTGCCCAAGCCTGGGCATATCAGGGAGATGAGCTGGCCCCCCAGAAATGTAAATAAATATCAGCAAAACCCAGAGCTACCGTGGCTGCTTTCCCAACAACACACCTGGGACCTCCCCACCCAGGACCCCACCACATCCTGCCTGGGACCTTGATGTTCCACCCAAGATCACAGGTACCACACCTGAGCCCCACACACCCTACCCAAGACCCCACAAAGCTCACCTGACAACCCACCTGGGACCCCCACCCAAGATCCCAATACCTCACCTGAGAGTCCACGTACCACACCTGCGACCCCGACATCCCACCCAGGACGCCAGGTACAATACCTGAGACCCTACACACCTCACCTGGGACCCCCATATCCCACCCAGGACCACAGGTACCATACCTGAGACCCTACACACCCCACCTGGGACCCCTATATCCCACCCAGGACCCCCGCACACCCCACCTGGGCCTTGACCCCTCTGCCCTCACATCTCACCCGCACTCCAAGCCCCCACCCCAGCCCTCTCATCGCCCTCCAGCTCTGCCCCTCCCTGCCTCCCCTTAACTCCCCATCATGGCTCTCCCATTTTTCCCCTCCCTCTCCACAGCCCCTCGCCCGTTGTCCCCCGTCACCACCGACCTGGCGGCCCCGGCCGCTCCGCCGCCCGCCCCGCCGGCGCCCCCCGCGCCGGGCCCGGGCCGCAGCGCCATCTTCGCGCTCGGCCCCGCCGTCTGTCAGCGGAGCGGGGCGGCTTCCGGGGCCGGCCCGGGCAGGCACCGCCCCCGGCCCCGCCGCTCCCCGGTGTACAGCCCTCGCTTCCTCCGTTCCCCGGTGTACAGTCCTTGGTTCCTCTGTTCTACGGCCCCGCCGCTCCCCGGTGTACGGCGCTCGGTTCCTCCGTTCCACAGTCCCACAGAGTCACGGCCCCGCCGCTCCCCGGTGTACAGCCCTCGTTTCCTCCGTTCCACGGCCCCACCGCTCCCCCGTTCCGCAGCTCTCGGTTCCTCCGTTCCACGGCTGCACAGAGCCGCGGCCCCGCCGCTCCCCGGTGTACAGCCCTCGGTCCCTCGGTTCCTTCGTTCCACGGCCCCGCCGTTCTCCGCTGTGCAGCCCTCGGTTCCTCCGTTCCACAGTCCCACAGAGCCGCGGCCCCGCCGCTCCCCCGTCCTACAGCCCCACAGAGCCCCGGTTCCTCCGTGCCACGGCCCCACAGAGCCACGGCCCCTCGGTTCCTCCGTTCCACAGAGCCGCGGCCCCACAGCTCCTCTGTTCTACAGCCCCACAGCCCCTCGATTCCTCCGTTCCACAGCCCCATAGAGCCACGGCCCCACAGAGCCTCGGTTCCTCCGTTCCACGGCCCCACAGAGCCTCGGTTCCTCCGTTCCACAGAGCCCCAGCCCCACAACCCCTCGGTTCCACAGCCCCACGATCCCGCAGCTCTTCGGTTCCACAGAGCCCCTCGTTTTCTCTGCTCCACCAACCCAAAAGCCCCGCGGGTTCTTGGTTCCACTCCCCCACCAGCCCCTTGGTTCCTTGGTCCCACAGCTCCCGGTCACCAGGAAAGGCCTGGATGGGGGTAAGTGGCCCCGGCTTCCCCTCGGGATCGCCGGTTTCCAGCATCGAAATTTTTCCATAAAAAGGAAAATAAAGTGCTGCCTTTCCACCCCACCTCCCCCAGGGTCACCTGGGGATATGTGACAAGAGCCTGAAGTGACAGGACAAGGGGCACTGGAGTCACAGCGACAGAGGGAGGGTTAGATGGGATATTGGGAAGAAATTCCTCCCTGTGAGGGTGCTGTGGCTGCCCCATCCAAACTAGATTAAAAACCAAGACAATCCTGTCCAGACGATCTTCCTTAAAGGACTGGAGTTGCAAAGAAGCCATTCCTGCCTGACTGGAATTCTGAGGACAAAACCAGGGTGGGCTGAGAACACACTGGGTAGATGATGACAGGGAAAACACAGAGAGCTGGGCCTTTTTTGCCTGCAGAATTGTTCCACGAAGGTTGCATAGAACACAGGTCTCTGAATTAGCATCTTATGACTTTTTTTATTCTGGTTTCAGGCTCAATTATAAAACAGTATAAAACTACTGGACACGCAAAGTATTAGTTATTTCAAAATAATTTTCTGGAATAAAAACAGTAGGAAGAGCAAGGCTTTACTTTCACACACAAGTGGGTTTGTTTTGGCTTTTTTGAAATGTCCAGGGAAGTCTCTGACAGCTGTGTTTATCAAACCTGATGGTAAACATTGTGTGGTTTTTGTCTCTGAATCTCCTGAAAGTGTCTAAAAAATGTCTTGGGGGCGATCTGAACACAGACCATATTTTCTGTGAGAAAGTACCACAAACTGATGCAGGCTTTGAACTGTTCTCAGAAATACACGGCATTCACTGCACGAGCACATGCTCCAGCTTCTATAAGAAGCATCCAGGAATTCTCTCCTGGAATTGCAGTAGAAACTTTATAGGATGTAAACCTCCACCTTCACCCCAAAGGAAACATGAGAAATGTTTTTCTCCTTTCACCATCGCTGCCATCTTTGTTCTTCTGTTCCAGCACAGACAGAGGTGTCAGCCCCAGCTCACCAGGCTGAATTCAGCTTTCTGAAACAGTCTGTAATTTACTGCCCTTTTTGTCTTCTTTATCTTTCTTCTTTCCCTTAGTATTTTCCTTTGTAGTTTTCCTACAAGAAACACATTGGAGATCAAGACACCTGAACATAACCAGTGGCTTAAACTCAGGCTGCTGTCACCTGACACATGGCACCACACAAGGCTGTCATTCATATTATATTACATATTGATATTGACAATAAAACTTCATCACTAAAATAATTGTGTTTAAATAAATAAGGAACTGTGTGGTTCATCCACACAGGTTATCTGTTACTTTGCTTAAATTTTCTGGGCTGTTTCTGGATAAACAGCATTTCTTACCTCCTCTTCAGCAAAACCTACTTACATTTTTCTTTTGCCTTTTTTCAGGAAGCACTTTGGGGTGGTACAAATGGATTCTCTTGCCAAAGGTTTCTTAATGAATTTCTTCTTTTGTTTGCTGAGAACAACATTTAGTGAAGGAAGATGAAATTACCAGGGTTTCTAGTTCTAGAAACTACCTTAAGTTATTAAAAAGCACTGATTAAAAGACTGGTTAACTGCTCAAATGAACATACCTCTGCAGTTTGGGCAAATGTTTTATGTATTCTGGCACAGGACAGCCAGCTCGCTGAATAACATTGGCAATACTGGAAAGGATAAGAGGGAAGAGATCAACTCCAGTGCTTGGACAAGTGATAAATATTTTTTGTGGAAAACAGCAAACTAAACTGGCTGGTTTGTTGTTGGTCTTTTGTTTTGTGGTGATTTTTTTTTTAAAGCAAGAAATAAAGATATTATTAATAAGGCCATATTACCTCCGTAATAAAGGTTTATCATCCTCTGTAAAGAAAGTGACTGCCTTTCCTCTGTGTCCTGCTCTTCCAGTACGACCTGCCAAGCACACATTTTGCAGAGTAGAGATTTTACTTTAGACATCTCCCTTTATTCCTCCTCACAGCCCCAGCCTCCTGTTCACAGACCAAGGATATACCAAGCAGCCAATCCCCAAACATTGTTCCCAGTGGATGAAAGCACAGCTATAGCTGAAACATCCAAATAAGGTTCACAGAGTGCTGACAAAAATGAGAGCATCTACATTAAAGACCTCAGAAATGGGAAAAAGGAGGTGAATTGTGAGCCATGCCTCACCTATCCTGTGGATGTATTCCACTGCACTCGTTGGCAAATCATAATTGATGACCATATTCACACCTTTGAAGTCCATCCCTCGAGCCAGTAATGCTGAGCAGATGAGCACCCAGATCTTCCCAGCTCTGAAACTCTGCACTACTTTGTCCCTCTAGGAAAAGAACAGAAAAGATATTTGGAAACAGTCCAAACAGCAATTTGAGAAAAGAGGGGAACTTGTTTCCTTAAAGCTCTGAACAAAAACCTGCAGGAATTTGCTGCCACTTACTTGCAGTTACATTCCAACACTTTTCTTTTACCTTTCTTTCTAAAGCATTTCTTGAAAAGAAATAAAATTCTCCTACCTGTTGCTGAGTCTTGTCTGCATGGATGACATCCACATTGATGCCTTCATAAATAAGCTCATGGAAAAGCTCTTTTGCCCTCTCAATAGACTGCACAAAAACGAGGACTGGAGGAGCAAAACCCTGCAAAAGAGTAAGTTTATCTCAGGTTCCAAAGTCCTTTTCCTTGCAGAAATTGAGACACAGCAGATTTGGGCAATGGTTTAACATGTGTGACAGAGAAGTGTTTGACTTGGGAACTTGGGAGTCTCTGACAGAACAGGGAGAAGAACATGCACAGTCTCTCCAAAATACCTTTTTAACAAGCTCTCTCATTGCTGTTAGTTTTCCTGTCTCAGATCCAACAAACAGCAGCTCTTGTTCTACTGTCTCTGCTGCAGAGTTTCTGAAACCAGAAATCCAACAGAAACCCTTCAGTGTTTTTCATACACATAAACAAAAACTTATATATTAATAAATATATGCAGTATATATAACCCCCATAAAAATACTGCCTAGTGGATGAGAAATACTGCACAACAAAACCTACTTCACCAGTGCATGCTCCTAAGATTGATGTTTATTTGATGATAAAGTAATTGGCAAAGGAAAAGAACACTTTATTCAACACACCAGAAAGATCTACGTGCCTACACAATGTTTTCTGGAGACAAACAACCTGCAGTGCTGACTAACAACAGCCACAAAACCTGATGAAGCAAAGAAAACAATTTCCCAGGAAACAAAACAAAACAAAACAAAACAGAAAACACCTGCCTTGCTCCAACAGACACCAGCACAACGTTGTCCAGGTTGAGCTTACACCACTCCTCCACGTCGTGGGCGAAGGTAGCACTGAACAGGGCCCTCCTGAGCAGGTGGGAGGTGCATGCCAGGAAGATGGAGCCCAGCTGGTCCCTGAATCCTGACTTCCCATCCTCAAACAGCTTGTCTGACTCGTCCACCACCAGCCACTCCACGCTAGGAACAGGGAGGTTTGATTTTTCACGAGTGCCACTTCTGAGTGGCAAAGCACATTTGAAACAGACTCTCATACCTGCTCAAGTCTATTGCTGGAGGGTCTTCTTTCAGCAAATAAATGAGTCTGTTGGGAGTAGTAACCAGTATATCTATTAGAAGAAAAGAAGCAAATGTCAAAAAAACCACAAAATAAACCCAACAAACAGAGCCCTGAGAAACACCAGTTCCAACCCAATCTGCCAGAGGTACAGTTTAGCAGAGTCAGGCTCACTTCTCTTTTTTTCCCTGCCACCTTTAACCATCTCTTTAAAACCACACAGCCCAAAGAGAAAGGTCAGTGACACTTCTTAATTTTTCAGAAGCACTTCAGTCAGTCACTAGAACAGTTACCAAATTTCTTGGAGGACTTGGGCCCAAACTTCTTGGCTGCCTCAGCTGCCTTGTGGATCATGTGGATTCTGAAGCCTGTGCCCTCTGCCAGCTTCACCAGCTCCCGGTGGGTCTGAAAAGGCAGCAGAGATTGGATTTCCAAACTGAGCTGATGAGATTTCTAACCTAAAAAACTGCTGGCAATCATGGAGTCATGGAATGGTTTGGCTTAGAATGGATACTAAAGCTCCAGTTCCCCCTCATAAGAATAAAAACTGCCCAAGGTGTCATTTTTATTTCACTTTAATAACACAGCTCTGTTATGATGTTACTCCTTGAAATTCCAAGTTTGGGACAAACAGATAAACCTCTCATAGCAATCTTAAGTAGGAAAGGAGGTTTTAAGAGCACCTGAGCATTGGGCAGTTTAAAATATGATCAAAGAATCTTGAGCCTCTAATCTAATCATTTAGATTAGACTCAGATAATAGATATGCACCCACTTCACAGAAGTCAAAACACTTGAAAGAAATATTTAAATTAGCTTTCTCTGACATGTGAGGGCAATAAAGGAAAAAAATATTTACTAAGCTGCTATTTTACTGATGCAGAGTGAAAACATTGAAGCCCATCAATGTGAGATTCCCCTAACACACACCTGGCTGGCAAGTTCTCGGGTGGGTGATATGATCAGAGCCCTGAATCCTTTGTTCCTGGGTTGCTTCAGATATGTTAAGAGAGGGATACAAAATGCCAGTGTTTTTCCAGACCCTGTAGGAGCTGAAGCCAGAAGCTCTCGACCCTGTAAGAAAAAACAAGGCCTTGTATTTCAGTAGGAGAAAAAAAAAACTAGTAAAAACTCCATTCCCATAAATATCAATGCTGCAAACTGACCCAAAATACCTTAGGAAGAGCATAGATGAGGAAAACTGTTAAAAGCCAAACTTTCAATTCTGAAGAAGTTGATACAGCTTTAAAACTGCCACAAATGCAGCCATGGCCCCAAGCTTTGCCAGAATCCCTGAAAGCCCAGAGAACTCACATGCAGCATGACAGGAATTGCCTGCATCTGGATGGGTGTTGGGACATGGAAGCCTGCAGCCTGGATATTCTCCATGATTTTAGGGTGGACTTTGTACTCCTTCTGAAGCTGATCAAAGGTGGCAATGGGGTCAGGGAGATCTGTTCCCTGAATGTTGATCCTGTGCTGGTTCCTGAAGCGATTTATCTACAAGGCAAAACACAAAATCCTTCTTAATTTTGCACCAGAAAACTCACCACGTGTGGATTCATCTCCTGGTTCTTTCCCTCACACTCGGTCACCCTCCTCCAATGAGGAACCACCAAAAAATAAACCTCAGTTTTAGATCAAACACCCACAGAACACTAGGAACCTGCTGTTGCATCAAAATTCCCTGGTCCCACCTTTTCTCTCCTCAACCGTTCAAGCTTCTCTGCAGTAGGCTTTTTGTCTTTTGCATCTTCAAATTTTGCTTCCAGAGAGGACATCCACTTTATTTCATTGTTTTCTGACAGCTCTGGCATTGATACTGCTCCTGGAAGTTGCAAACAAATTGAAATTTCCTTTAGTAAAATACAGACAGGCATTATTTGGAGACAATAAAATCGCAGAATCTTTTTTCTCTCATTCTCAATAAAACTAATGAAGACTCCAGAAGGATGGCAACCACATCTCCAGCTTTCAGCACTAAACCTTGCCTCAGTTATTAGATCAGCTTTGAGCCAGGCCAGCCAAGGAACCCAAAACTGGATGGGATTTAAGGTCCCTTCCAATCCAAACCATTCTGGAATTCTTTGATGATTCTGCCAGGGATACATGCGTGTGTGTACAAATACCTCGTGTCTTTTTCTTTTTTCTTTTCCCTTCACTGCTTTCTGCCGTTCTTTTCCTCTTTCCATCGTTTTTCTCTGCTCCATCTTCCTTCTGCTTCACCTCCTCTTCAGCCCCTGCGAGCCCCCAGCCCTCCTGGGCAGATCCCTGAGGTGTTCCCTCCTTATTCCCGAAGAAGTCGAGGCTCTCCAGCGAGACGCTGCCGCGGTTCTCTTTAATCACCTGCGGGAGAACAGCGAACAGGGTGAGACGCCATGGCCAGGTCCCGCTCCTCAGCGCCGCGGGCGAGGAGGGGACAGCGCTCCGGAGCCTGAACCGCTCCGGGCCGATCCCCGAGCCCTCCCCTCGGTGTCCCCGTACCCCGAAGCGCCGCGCGTCCAGCCCGAAGCGCCGCACGTCAAAGCGAGCGCCGGTCCCCAAGCGCCGGAACAGCTCGTGGGTCTCCATGCTGCCGCGCTCCCAGCAGCCCCCGCGCCGCCGCCGGAAACGGGGATCACTTCCGGTGGAGCGGGGCGGTCACCATGGCAACCGTCATGGCGGCTCGCTGCCATGGCGACGGAGAGGCCGCGCTGCCCTAGGCCGCAGCGTGGGAGCGGCTGTCGCGACACGAGGCTGGCGAGAGAGGATTCATTCCCCGTGTGGGGCTGAGGATGGCTCCGTGCGGCCCCTTCCAGCCCTGCTGCAGCCCTGCAGTCTGCGAGAGAGCAGACAGGAGGATGCTCTTAAGCTGTGCCAAGGGAAATACAGGCTGGATATTAGGAGAAAGTTTATTATGGGAGGAGTGATCAAGTACTGGAATGGTCTGCCCAGGGAGGTGGTGGAGTCACCATCTCTGGATGTGTTTAAAAACAGAATGGATGTGGCACTGGGTGCCATGGGTTGAGGTATTGGGGCATGGATTGGACTCAATGATCTTGAAGATCTCTTTCAACCCTGTGATTCTGTGATTCTGATTCTATGGTTCTGTGATTCTATGTTGTTGCTGCCCTGTGCACAACCATTTTGCTTAATCCTCGATTTATACTAATACAATCCAGCCTCACAAGTGTGCCCAAAGAAAGAAATGCTTGAGGCCGTGGCAGGAGGAACCTGGCAACTGGCTGAGCTCCTCGGGGCATTCAAGAAAGTTTGCCCAGATTAAGATCAGAATTTATTTAATTAATGTATTTATTCATTATGATAAACTGTGAGATCCAATAGTGCAGGTAAATCTAGTACTCTCTATCAGATCAAACTATACAGATTTTTCCTGGTTGTTCATGAAAGAAAACAAACTGAAATTTAATTAGCAGCAGCAAAAAATATTTAATGTAATATAAGTCTCAAGGGCTAAAGGTTTATGTTGCTGAAATCCAAGAGCTCTAACATTCACTACTTTAATAACAAACTTTGAGATGAAAAATTGAGTAAATCTGATCCTCCCCTCTGCCCTTCTCTGCCTGATTTATAGTGCTTTTTCTTTGCCAGACTTTTAACTCCCCAGCAAATGGGACCTGGGTGCAGAGCACCACAGCGGTGACAATTCCCCTTCTTGTGTCCCCAGTGGTGTATTTGCAGTGAATAAAGACTCAGCTCTGCATCCTTCGTGCTGTTCCCAGGCTGAGGCTCCTGCTTTCTGCTGGGAGCAGTGACTAATGGTTGCTGCGAGAGGATGGGCAAGAATGTGGAGGCATTTGTGTAACAAAGAACTATAAATCATCTCCAATATCCATCACTCACCACGGGATGCTGTTGGCAGATTCGAGAGTGAGGAAACAGAGAATATTCTCTCCATCGGTCAGCTGGGAAATCCCTTTGTGCCAGGGCTGAGCAACTCTGCTTCTGAGGGCAGAAACTTCTGTGCCAGGAGCAAGGGACCAGGAATATGCTGAGCTGGGGTCCACAAGGATCATCCAGTCCAGTCCAACCCCTGGCCCTGCACAGACACCCCATCAATCCCACCCTGTGCCCGAGAGCATTGTCCAAAAGCTCCTGGAGCTCTGGCAGCCTCAGGGTTGTGCCCATTCCCTGGGGAACTTGTTCCAACCCTGACCACCCTCTGGAGTTCCCGGGGCTCCCATCACTCTGTTGCTGCTGCTCTGAGCAAAGCCTTGCAGAGCAGGGCCTCCCTCAGGTGCCAGCAGCAGAAACCCCACAAGGCAAAGGATGCCTCGCTTTGTTCCCTGTCACTGATCCAAAAGGAAAAGCACAGAGCCTCTTCACAGGGATTTCCCACTCCCACAGCAAAGAGGAAACACCCACCTGTGTCAGGCTAAGGGGGCATCAACCCCCCAGCCACAGCCACCTAGAGGGGGCAACAGCCTTCATCACCCAGCTCGTGTTTTTCCGTGAACCCCCTGCCCTGGCTGCATGTGCTGAGGAACCTGGGGCTGGGTACAGCCTTAGCAGAGGAGCAAAGCACTGCTCCTTCTGCCTGGATCACTGGCAGGATGCCCACAGGCTGCACAGGGGTGTGGGGAGAGGCCTGGCTCCTGATTTCACTGCTTATCCTTGCAGGAAGTCCCCTGCAGCAGCAGGTACAGGTGGGTGGGGAACAGCCAGGTGCCCTCCTGACCCTGACACAGCCCCATCCCTCCAGGCCTCAGGGATCTCTGGGGTGGTGCAGAGCAGCTCAGGTGAGAGGTGCCACTGGGCAGGTCATTGGGCTGTGCCCCAGGCATGGAGCTGAAATAAAATCCCACAAGATGGCAAAGCAAATCAGGTGAGTGCATTTATTCCATCACATGCACAGCCAAGTCTGAGCTGCTGTAGCCTTGGGCTCCTGGAGAAATCCAGCCAAGCCAACACTTTCTGTGTGTGTGTCCATCTGTTGCACAGGTGTAAGGCAGGAATTACAGTGGGACTCCTGCACGTGTGCCCCTCACGCCCTGCCCTCCTGCTTCATCATCATCACTAATATGCACATCACAGTCAATTAGGCCGGCTGAGCACACTGGTGACCTCTGACCCCTGCTGTGTCCCCCGATCCATTAACAGCCCCTCAGCCCTCAGCTCTCAGTATGAATTGATGTAGCATCCATTCTCTTGCAGCAAAGAAACATGCGTCCTCATTCAGCTGTCCATTTCCACTTTCTGTTCCTTTGTGCTCCCCTTCTGTTCCCTGTGTTGCTAACCTGGTCACCACTTCTTGACCCCACGTCCTCGTCCCTCCCACGGGTGTTGTAATCCCAACCACTACCAAAAAACTTTTACTTTTTTCCCCTTTACTCACGTCTTATTTAGCAAAAAATGGTTTCCAGCAGTGTGGGAGCTTTGATCCCCTATTCAAGAAATCCTTGCAATGTTTTTTTAAAGACTTCCTTTCTAAGGCAAATGAATTCTTCATAAAGGGGGAAATGGTGTGCTGGTTGGGCTCTGTTCATCTGAGGAAGACAAATGATCTGTTTTATTACTTGAAAAGCATAACAGTTGAGTGTGTAGATTTGTGATTTATCTGTAATTAAGAATCCATTTGAGCAGCGTATTAATTACAGAGACGAGGATTCGTTTTGCTGAGTGGAAAAGTAAAATCAAAGTTCCTTGAATTAGAAGACAACGTAAAATGCCTGAGGCTTTGGTTTTCCATGGCTCTGCATTACGCCTACACTGGGACAGAACAACTCTAAGGCACATTTGAGTTTTTTAACCTTTAAATTTTCTCTTTGGGTCAGAGAAATAAAGTCCCGGGGCTCAGAGACCTCTCCCTGCCGGTGCTGGTGGCTCCCCCAGCGCTCCCGTTCCGCCCGGGCTGCTCGGATTGTGCCGCACACGCCTCTCCTTTGCCTGGGGCTGCAGCAGGGAAAAGGATCCTCCAGGATTCAGTGGTGCCTTGGCTGCTGCGGGGAGCCCAGGCAGGGCAGGGCAGCGCCCGGAGCTGCAGGAACAATCGGGGACGCACTGGAGCGGGCAGAGAGGTTTTCTCTGGATGCTCAACGCGTTTTGGAGTGTTTGGGTGCAGAGCGTTGGTTCAGGACAGCAAAGTGTTCCCGAGCTGTTCTGCTGGTCTTTCAGGCTCACATCTCTGCCCCCACCAAACCTGTTCACGGATTAGTGAAGATGTGCTGCGGGCACATCACGGACCCAGCGGGCGACGGGATCAGCGCCTGGCACCGGCCCCGCTCCGGCTCCGGCTCCTGCCCCGCGGGCACAGCCCGGCCCCGCAAGGCAAGGCAAGCACTCTGCATTCCTCTGTGTGCTCCTCAAACCCCGCCACCAGCCCGACCCAGCCCGCTCCCAAAGGCTGCAGAGCCTGCTGGCAATGGAGAACGGCAATGCTGGCCCTGTCACCTGTCACCTGTGCGGGCTGCAGAGCCCAGCCCGGGCACAGCCCTGGCACAGCCCCGCACTGCTCCTGCTGCCTGTCCTGCTGCCATTCCCGGCACATCCGGCCACCTGGCCGGACTGGCAGAACGGGTCTGGAGAGAGCCCGAGTGTGTGAGCTGTGCTCTTGTGTAACTGCACCTTCCTTACGTGTGCACAAACTCTGAGAGACGATTTATAGTCACTGAAATCACTCAGTTGCATTCTGGTGTGCCTGGAGAGGGGGATCCAAAGCCTTCATGGCCAGCAGAACATCAGAGGGGTGAGCTGGGATTTGCTCAGCAGCCCAGCTCTTTGCTGCTGGCCCGTGTGAGCCCAACTGGCTGCAGCACCAGAGGCTGGGATGGCAGCTGAGCCCCAGCACTGCCCTGGCAGCGAGGTGGGCACCAGCACCAGGCTGCTGTCACACACCTGGGCACAGGGACCCAGGCACCAGACCCCCAGACCTCAGCCCTGGACAGGGTTTTGCTGGCTCTGCTCCTCCCACAGTGACAGGAGGTGACAAATCCCTGCTCCGAGGGACAGCCAGAGCCCTGTGCCCAGGGCTGGTGCTCAGGATTTGATAAGCCCTGGCTCTGGGGTGGGCAGCGAGGGGGGCTCAGCTGGTTTGGACCCAGCGACTTTGCTGGCAGCACAGACAGGAGGCTGTGGGGGCATGGCACCCACCCATGGGGTAGCTGGCACACAGCTGGCACAGCTGTGCTGTCCTGGGAGGGGAAGGAGAGGTCCTGCTGCTGCCCAGCCCTTCACATCCCACCTCTGCACATCTCAGCCTTCCCCTGATCCTCAGCCCACAGGCTGGAGAAAGAGCATGAAAGCACAGAGAGCTTTGGGTGATACCTCCGTGGATGGAGCAGGTCCTTGTGTCACACAGACCCACAGCAGCCCTGACCCCAGCTGTTACCTTGGCACTGCTGGGATTTGGGGGATTATTCCTTTGTATCCCACCTGCACTCTAAATTAAATGCAGCCTCGTCCCTGTGTCCATGAAGGGGGCTGCAGCTCACAAGAAGAGACACTGCTAAAGCCTCGTGGCAGCCCGTGGATCCTCACGTGCAAGGAATTCCCTTATAAGCAGCTTTGAACTGTAAAATAATCACTCGGCCCTGTAAACTGCATTGGTCATAAATGAACTTTGTCATGGTTCT